TTCAAGAACAACAATTCAGTAGAACTGGATGTGTCCGGCCTTCCGACCCAATGGCAGCTGGTATAGCCTCCAGCTCCCCCCGTGTGCCGGGTGCTCCGGTTTCCTCCCACAGTCCAAAGATATGCAGTCAGGCCAGTTGGACATGCTAAATTGCCCCTAGGTGTGTGTGTATGTGTGAATGTGTATGTCTGTGTGTCTGCCCTGAGATGGACTGGTGACCTGTCCAGGGTGTATCCTGCCTTCCACCCAATGACTGCTGGGATAGGCTCCAGCACCCCACCGCAACCCAGAAGGATAAGCGGCTTAGAAGATGTGTGTGTGTGTGTGTGTGTGTGTGTGTGTGTTTGTGTGTTTGTGTGTGTGTCTGTATCTCTTTCAAACCTGCATGCTGATAATGATCATAAGGCCATCTGCTTTGCATGGTGTTACGTAATGAAACATTCACAGTTAGAATTCACACGTATCATCTCTTCATACATAATGGGAACATATTTACATAGCACATTTTAACACAAGTGCACAGAGTGCTGGAAATGTACGAATATCAAAATGAAATTAATTGCATACAGCCATTTTAAGGTCACAGAATGCTGAATAATTGCAGAATTCAGAACCCTGAGTGAGGAAGATCACCTAATTGAATGGCAGCTGTGACTAAACCAAACTGCAAAGTAATACAATACATGTAAGATATCAATCAGTCGTTGGGATAATGACTAGTGCTCTTATTTAACCTCCAAGTGAGCTGATTCAAGAGTAAACAAAGATTTGAGCCAACATCTGAGCCAAGTTTAAACATAGAGAAATAACCGATAAATAAGACAATGCAAAGATGATTCCCTATAAATACATTATGAAATTAGTGTTTTAAGATGCTTTTGAAAAGTGCTAAGAGTATAAATTGCTTAGCTTTCAGGTAGAAAACCCCAGAGCTTGAGGTGATAAGAACTGAAACCTATTCTTCAGCTATAGCATCATCTAGAGTCTGATGTTACATTTATATGGATGAAAGTAAAAGTTAGATTTAAGTTAGCTGGAGAAGCATGCTCTGATAATGCTCTAGAACTTTGTTACGACCCCAGATTTTGTCTAGGGTGATGTGGGATCAATAAGAGTTTGCTTTAAAATATTGAACTGGGAAAATGGGCAAATAAGAGCTTTTGAAAGCTATTTTATTAAAACCAGCCACAATAAAAATGCTGTGGTATGTTGACTAGTATGACTTTGGGAGAATCAAACTGTGGACAGCACCAAAGAAAAGGACTAAACTAAACATAACCACACTAGTCTACTCTAAATCAGATAGCCCTTAGCTAGAAAACCAAAATGAAACAAAAACTCTGTATATATTATATGTAGGTTTATGTGCAAGTATATGTCTTGCTACTGAAACACTGCAATTTCCCTTTGGGATCAATAAAGTTCTGTTTATCTATCTGTCTGTCTGTCTGTCTATCTATCTATCCATTTGTCCTTCCATCCATCTGTCCCTCCATCCATCTGTCCGTCTATCTATCTATCTATCTATCCTACTCTACTCTTCCCTGGCCAATAACCAAAAGAACATGGGACAGTGCCAAAAAGTCACCCTAGTTCTGGAGATGGTCAAGTAAAATCTCATAGTGAAATGTGTCAAAGTTGGCACCAATATCAAGGAGGACCAAGATGGAGTCCCTGTTGAGTCCTAAAATCAAATTTTGACAAGTCTGTTTCAGCCCAAAACCAAGTGTGAAAAGTTTCATTATGATGGTTTGTGTTTCATTTAACTGAATGGACACAATCTTCATAATTATTTGGCTGCCTGCAAAGGACACACCAACCCATAGTCTGTACAGCAGTGTAAGCTGCCATCTGGTGGAACCTCATAGTATTGCAGGGCCACATCCAGCAGGACTCAGTTAAGCCTGCAATCAACAAAAAATGCTGGCATCTTTCCATACACCTACTATTTGGAAACATTTAATATACAATATTCTACCAATAAACACAGTTTAATCTCGAAATTGAGATGTTTGAATTTTCCTCTGCTTCTCCAGCCAAATAAAGCAACAACTATGTTGCTATGTTCTCAAAGCTCTTTACTTCCTTTAATGACACTTGTGTTTTGGTTTGATCCTATGCTTTGACTAGCCTCAACAGGATTTCATGCACCAGCCTTTTATGAAAGACCCTGTGCTAAAGACAACAAGGCTATTTTATTCAAGTTGCATACAGGTGACCTCACTGAAGCCCATGGTGGACCCCTGAATCAGTGGCTTCTGGGGGGACAGTCACACTGGGGTCCAGGTTCTACATTTTTTTTATGAGGCCACTCCAGGCTTGGACTGCCTATCAGAAGTACATTGTGCGGCCGGTTGCCTGACCTGTCAGTTAGATTGTTCAGGCCAGTTGCACTGAAGATGATCTAAACCAGAACACAGCACAATCACATCCATTAATATGTGAGCAAAACCCTCTTCCCTTCTGCCCCCTGATCTCTCAGGTGATTAGTCTTCCCAAAGCACATACACGGTATACGTGTAATAAGTAGTATTAGATCTGAGAGCTCGCGCTGAGGTTTGTGCTCACAACTTTGCAAAATGGGTAGAAATAGAAGAAAAGGATGAAGCTGTGAGAGGTGAGAGAGAAAGTGTGCTCAGAATAACTAATTCAGCAACAGGTCAGTCTTTAGTCTCCTCTACTGGCCTGATCACTCTGGCTAGTTGTAACTGCTGTAGGCTGTTTCTCTCCATCAGGTGATATCAGAACAATCCACTATCGACTGAGACAGTCTCCATTGTCAATTTTGGTGCTTGCTTACAAAAACAGTCTTGGTTTTATTTCCTAACGTGTCCATCTTATAACTGATTTTACACAAACAGAAGCATGTTTAATTATGTAGAACCTTTCTGTGCATATACACTTTCACTTGTAGCTTCTCTTCAGGATGAATAAAGTTATCACTGAGCATAAAATCACATGTTCAGTATATAAGGTATCATGCGGAATGGAGCATTATTTACACTGGAATGTTTAGGTGACTGAGCTGATTATGGTACCGTCATACTTAATGGATGGATATTAGAGTTAGACAGGCTATTTAGTGTCACTGTCCAGTGTGTTATAAACCCTGACTGTACACTTCCATTACTGTTACAGGACGAATGCCCAAGTACAGAGTAGTATAAGTGTGTAATTTTTTTTATATTCATACAAAAAATGTTTTGTTTATAAGAGTGCAAATATGGGTAAGAGGCGTATGGACAACAAAAGGAATAGTGTTTTTGTGGTATGCTGTGGGGTCTGTGCTGGTGTGGTGCCCAATCTCACATTCCCATCCTGATCTTACGTCCCCTGGTTTGCGGTCACGGTATTCCCATGAATCAGATATATCAATCATCAATCAACAACCCTGGGGGCGAACCCCAAAAGGCATGGGTAGGTATGTGTGTGCATGACTTTTTTTAAACTTAAATTTATTAGTAAACAAAAGCAACAAAGCACACAACTGAATTAAAACAGTGACACGTTCTATAGTTAACAGTACTGGCTTGCATGATAATGAAAACATGCTAACTTGCTAATTCTGGCCGAGGGTCTTTGGGAAGTGAAGTCAGGACGGAGATGTGAGACTGGGCTTCAATCTTGATTTGAATCACCGATGTGTGCAATGGCAGACTGCCGTTTTACCACTGCGCCACTAGGCAGGGATGAAAACAGATGGAGAAATCTCTTCAAGAAGTGGTGGGAAAATGATGCAGCAAAGGATGAACAAAGGAGACGCCAGAAAGAGGAGTGGTTAAGCAAAAGAGGCTATAAAAACAAACACAAAGCAGTTTAGGAATGGTCTGAATTTCCCTCCTGCCTTTGGAATATTTCAGGTATCTGATTTACATGTAGGGAAGAAAGGGCAGACAACAATGAAAGACTTGATTTTTGCTTTAGCCACAGCTTGGATAATGTTATACCATCCACGTTCAAGCTGTCCAATGTGCAGTAATAGGCTGCTAATGTTTAATGTTAGTAGTACCTCTGAGGGTTAAACAGTGAAGCATCATTTCACAAAAACGTATTCAAAAGAAGTTTGTAAAGAGAAGATATATAATATAAAAATAAATACAGTAGAATTAATAAATGTACACAATAAGTCACCAGCCCAGCCCCCTGAAAAAAAGAAAAAAAAAAAGTAATGGTACCACTTTAAAACCCTTAAAAAAGAGTTTACAAATGGTTTAAAAATAGTTTGTTAATGGTTGGGTTAGATCATACACACTATTAATCATTAATAAGCAGTTATAACACATTAATAAAAGTGGCAAAAGTGAGCTGTTGTATTTGATGATATGAATATGTGATGAAGCTGACAGTATGAAGTTTGACAGTAAAAATGAATGTGAGTTCACTATTAGGCAATTGACAGATCACTGTTGCCCTTTTTATTCATGTGTTGTAAAGGTTAATTAATGATTTCTAAGGTCTTCAAAACCAAATTAATGACCATTAATAAACTCATTTTAAACCATTCATGGACCATTTCCCATGGTTATTTTAAAGTGGTACCAAAGTATCCATTTCATCAAGAATCAGGGCAAACGAACTGATTTAGTAGGTGGTAAGTGAATGCAAAAGCAGTGCATTCAGAGAGAGGCTGTGTTTTAGCTGAACATGAGCAAAGCTGTTAGTCTGAAACACAAATAAAAGAAATGAAATAGAGAGTAGTTTTCAGTTATGTACAGTATTAGTCTAGACTTTGCTGTTTTTATTTTCACTGTCCCTGTGAGTTCAAATCAACCGCTGTCTTCTATTAATGTTATGATGACATGTACGACAATGTATGAATGTATAAAGTAATTTATTTTCGATTTTTTTTTTTTCTGGTGTTTTGCTTTAGAAAAATGTAAAAGAATAATAAATATTCTTTTATTTTGTTTTCAAAGCTGCAAATTAAGAACACATCTCTTCACTCTGACAATCAGATAAAGATCAATATCAGTGTTTAGAGTCTTAAAAGTGTTCCTTACCTGTTACTGCTGGTGAAGCTGCTCTGTTCATGTCTGCGTTCGTGTCTCCTGCTGTTTATCATGTGGGACTAAAGAGAAAACTAAAGACACAATAATCACTCTTTGTTTTGTGCTTCTCCATTTATTTTCATGTCAATTTACATAACAGCTCACTGAACAAATGCAAATGAATGCACATACACAGTAGATTAACAGTAAATAGAAACCACATCATTTTAACGGTCAACTCTGAGCCCAGTAGATCTGTCTGTAATAAATCTCTGGGGGGAAAATAGTGGATAAAATAAATTATTCTTTAGGAAAACAATACAAGATCCACACTCTTTGTCCATTTTATCAGCTCCACTGACCATATTGGAGCACTTTGTAGTTCTACAGTTACAGACTGTAGCCCATCTGTTTCTCTGCATACTTTGTTGCCCTGTTTTTCAGTGGTCAGGACCCCCACAGGACCCTCACAGAGCAGGTACTATGTGGGTGGTGGGTCATTCTCAGCACTGCAGTAACACTGACGTGGTGGTGGTGTGTTAGTGTGTGTTGCACTGGTCTGAGTGGATCAGACCCAGCAGTGATGCTGGAGTTTTTAAACAGTGTGTCCACTCACTGTCCACTCTATTAGCAGGGCTGGGAGGATTACTTTATAAATGTAACCGTGTGTAACATACATGTAATGTAGTTATTATATATGTACTGTATAATAATGGAATGGGATGGAATTTTTACTTTAAAAATGTAACTGTGTAACATACATGTAATGTAGTTATTATATATGTACTGTATAATAATGGAATGGGATGGAATTTTTACTTTAAAAATGTAACTGTGTAACATACATGTAATGTAGTTATTATATATGTACTGTATAATAATGGAATGGGATGGAATTTTTACTTTAAAAATGTAACTGTGTAACATACATGTAATGTAACCAACTGTTAAAGTAGTAATTATAATTACTGATGATTTAGTCAGTGTTACAGATGGAATACAGAATCTATATATATACACACAATTACATATATATGTATATATATATATATATATATATATATATATATATATATATATACATACATATGTATATAATTACACGTGTATTAACTTCAGTTTTGCCTCATGTAATTACACAGGCGTATCTTTTTCATAAACTACAGATCAGAAGTCTTTTCCAGCAGTTAAAGGAAGTATGTTTTACATAACATTATATTTATGTTTTACATAATTACTATGGAACAACTGTGTTGTAACAATGTAACCTAATCACATCACATTGATTAATACCATTCTGTAATTACACTGTACCAATATATCAACTACACAGGAACGTTCCTGTAGTGCAGTGTTAAAGTTACACTTTAAAATAAGTGGACAGTTCCTGTGTAGTTATTATATAGGTACTGTATAATAATGGAGTGGTGATATAGAAATGCGACATATTAATGTCCTAAAAGTTACATGTTAAGATAAGGGGGCATCTACTGGACTGACACATTACAGAATGGTTTAAAGCTGAAACTGGTTACAGTGTCACAGCACTAGCAACATAAATGCTAGCTAAATGTTACCAAAGCTGGCAGATACAGTGTAAGTAATGCCTTAATGTACTTTATTAGATACTCCCTTTTACTGCTGGAAAAAGGATCTGAAAAAACTGCTGTTTCAGTCTGATAACAAATGTAATTACATTTGTGTTATTACCCTTGTGTAATTACATGAGAGACAATAGGCTGCTACAACTGTTACAACTAAGACACACGTTAATTACATGAGGCAAAACTGAAGTTGATACACGTGTAATTACATAAGGTGTACTCCTATAATCCATCTGTAACAGTGACTAAACCGCTAGTAGTTACGTTATTGTTGCATATGTTGTTCACATGTAACTACACAGTTATTAAAGATGCTTTATATAAAGTGGGACCGAATTTTGTCTGAGATAAGATTTTTGCATGCCTGTGTGACATTCAGTATAATATGCATACAAACTGATCATTCTGAACAATTGAAGAGAAAAAACCTCTCAATTTCTATAAGATGTGATGAAGCATCCACAAAAAAACAATGATTTTACATGAAGCGTACAAGAATCTACACCAGAGTTTATTTATTTAAGGAAACAAAGAAAAAACAGTAACCTACAGTCAACAAGTGATGCATCAAACCAGCAAACCAATAAATCACTGTGACAAGAAGAAATCTAATGAGAGGAACCCAGTATAACAACAATAAGTAAAAGTGTCATAGTCCCAGTTATTTTGCATTATTAAACTGAATTGTTGTGTTTGCATGTTAAAAAATGCCCCACATGCTGATGAAGAAATAACTATCAAATATCATGATTCTCAAATATGAGGATCCAGCCTGCATCCTCTTCTAGATCTCTAAAAGAAGCAAAAAAGAAAAGAAGAAAAAAAACCATTATTAAGTATTTATTTAAACAAGCGGCGACCTACAACAACACCACAGATCTCCAGGAGTATACTGACACAGTCACTGGCTACATCTCCAAGTGCATTGAGGATGTAACTGTTCTCAAGACCATCACGGTTCGGGCCAATCAGAAGCCATGGCTGACAGGGGAAGGTCTACAGGCTACTGAAGGCTAGGAATGCTGCCTTCTCAGCAGGAGACGAGGTGGGCCTGAGGGCAGCTAGGACCAACCTGTCCCGCGGCATCAGAAAGGCAAAGAGGCAGTACTCCAGGAGGATAGCCCATCGTTTCAGCGACAGCAGAGATACACGGAGCCTGTGGTGGGGGATACAGACCATCACAGACTACAAGCCTCCACCGCAGACCTGTGACAGCTCCACCTCTCTGCTGAATGAGCTTAACAACTTCTTTGCCCGGTTTGAGACAGACAACAACATGCCTGCACAGAAGGTCTCACCCCCTCCTGGAGACCAGGTGCTGACGCTGTGCCCAGTCAGTGTGAGGAGATCATTCAGCAGGATCAACATTCGGAAAGCTCCTGGTCCTGACAACATACCCAGTCGTGTGCTGAGGGACTGTGCTGGGGAGCTCACAGATGTCTTTACAGATATCTTTAACATCTCGCTGAGTCAGGCTGTTGTCCCCACATGCCTGAAAGCCACCACCATCATCCCTGTCCCGAAGAAAGCGTCACCCTCCTGTTTCAATGACTACCGTCCAGTTGCACTCACTCCCATCCTCATGAAGTGCTTCGAACGGCTGGTCATGCAACACATCAGGTCTGTCCTTCCCCCCTCCCTGGACCCCTTCCAGTTTGCATATCGGCCTAATCGCTCTGTCGATGATGCCATCTCCACTGCCCTCCACTCAGCCCTCACACATTTGGACAAAAAAGACTTTTATGTCAGAATGCTATTCATAGATTTCAGCTCCGCATTTAACACCATCATCCCCCAGCAGCTCATTCTCAAACTGGACAGGCTGGGGCTGAACACTTCACTGCGCAACTGGCTGTTAGACTTCCTGACTGGGAGACCACAGGCAGTACGGGCCGGCAACAACACATCCCGCACCATCACACTGAACACGGGGGCCCCCCAAGGATGTGTACTGAGCTCCCTCCTATTCACTCTGATGTCCCACGACTGCACACCGTCGCACAGCTCCAACCTCTTCATCAAGTTCGCGGACTGTGGTGGGTCTCATCAGCAACAACAATGAGACAAACTACAGGAGCGAGGTGAGCCGCCTGGCCTTGTGATGTAGACACAACAATCTCCATCTGAACATTGAGAAGACGAAGGAAATCGTTGTGGACTTCAGGAGAACGTGCACCCAGCATTCTCCTCTGACCATCAACGGTGCTGCTGTGGAGAGGGTGAACAGCACCAAGTTCCTGCGCATGCATGTCATAGAGGACCTCCCCTGGGCCAGCAACACAGCATCACTGGCCAGAAGGGCTCATCAGCAACTCTACTTCCTCCACACACTGAGAAGAGCCAGAGCCCCAGCCCCCATCATGTGCACCTTCTACAGAGGTACCATCGAGAGCATCCTGACCAGCTGCATCACCGTGTGGTATGGCGCCTGCACCGTGTTCTGCCGCAAGACACTCCAGCGCATCGTGAGAGCAGCTGAGAAGATCATTGGCACCTCCCTCCCCTCCCTCCAAGAGATATACAGCTCTCGTCTCACCCGAAAAGCCCTCTGCATGGCAGGTGATCCCACTCACCCACTACACAGCCATCAGGGAGGAGACTGCGGAGTCTCCGGGCCAGGACCAGCAGACTGGGGGACAGCTTCATCCACCAGGCTGTCAGGATGCTGAACTCTCTCCCTACTTTGCACTACTGTTTTTATTTTGCACAATTTATACCCACAGACCTTAATCTGTATCAGTAATCCTTATGTCACTTCAGTGTTAATTTCAATGTTTAGTTTTTTTTTTAATGTCTATTTAAATTCACACTTTTCCTGTTTACTTTCTATTTAATGTTATTGCTACACCATGGGGTCTGAGAGTAACGCAATTTCAATACTTGGTATGTCCTGTACATGTTGTAGTATTGACAGTAAAGCTGACTTGACTTGTTTCACCATAAATATTTAACTGTTGACAGATATAGAATCCTCTGTCTCACCCTCAGAGGTGGTGCAGATGAAGTTGAGTCTCTGATTCTCTGGCAGACTGACCCACTTCTTACTTCCAGACTGCACCGCTCCTGTTCTTTCTCCTCCACTGCAGTCTTCCACTCCTGTCCCGTTCCCCGGAGCCCAGTTCTGGTAGCAGGTGAACTCTCCGCTCACCCAGAACCAGAAGCTCAGGGTGCAGGTGTGACGCAGACCCATCCACACATTAGCAGTGGAGGCATAATAAACAGCTGTTTCCACCCAGTGCTGAATTTTCTCAGTGTGAACAGAGACCAGATCCACATGATTCACTCTGCAGTATCTCAGAGCTTCTCTCCACGTCTTGGTCTGATTAATCAGGATGAGTGGAAGCTCTGCAGAAGGGTGAGAAAAAAGATTTAACCATTACATCAAACTGTCAATTTTGTGCTTTTCATTTTATATATATATATATATATATAAATGCTGTATGAACAAAATCTTGGTAACTTTACCCCTTGAAGGAAAAAACATTCTTAACTTAAGAATAAATATTTTAAATAAATAAATAAATATTTTTCCACATAATTTTAGACCACTTGCATTAGTCCATTCATCATGATGTTTACACAGTGTAAAGGGCAGGTGGAAAAAAAACAACAAAATAAGGTTTTGTTCTGACGGCGACAATATTCAGAAAGGCTAGTTGTGTTTTGGTTACTGTACTTTCTATCTGTAAATGTTGATCTCACACTTCATCCAGATTCACTATTCAGATCTAGCTGTATTAAAAAAAAACAAGTCATCTCCAAACATTAACAATAAAAGTGAATGAGTTAAATTTGCAACGGAGCATTTCATCACCTCATATTACTCACTTTTATAGCAGATAAATGGATTTGAGTGAGTGCAGTTGTCATCATTCCACTTGTATTCAGGGCTTTTCCATAACTGCACACAGTAATCACCCAAACCGTTGTTTGGCTCTTTAGTGTTCCAGTTTCTGTACGTAGAGTTACTCCCATCTGACCAGATCCAGCTCTAGAAACACATTAACACCTGATCAGTGAACTGTTTATACACTGACCTCTCAGTGCTCAATATCACACCATTATCACACACCCCCGCCCCTCTTTAGTCTCATTACTGTCACGTCTTCTAAATGTACATGATTTCTTACAGCACTGTTCCTTAGATTTTTCTGTCTCAGTCCGATCCAGAAGAGGCCTGCTGTCCCTCTGACGAGAGCTTTTACAGCGTTCATGTCCTCTTTACTCTCAATGGTGGCCAGGTCAGTGAACTTCTCTTTGCAGTGTTTCAGAGCGTTGGTCCAGTTCTTCTTTACTTTCACCACATGAAACTGACGAGTCCCACAGAAGGAGAGAGTCCACAGAGCTGTAGAGATGAAAGCTCTCATCAGCATGACAGTACAGTAATGAAGCAGCAGAGAGTTTTACAGATGATCATGAAGCTACACTGACCTGAGAAAAGCAAAATCAGATACAGAGCTGAACTCATGACTGTGGAGAACAACAGAGACACAATCCACACATTAAACACCTCAACAGTCTTTACTACCAGTACATCAGATCATAGAGCACTTTAAATGACAGCAGTGTATAAAAGGTGCCATATAAATAAAATTGCCTTGCCTGGGAATGGAAGCTATAGCCAAAGTTCTGCCAGGAAGACTCTAATGTTACATCATTCATTCATTCATTCATTCCTCCTGACCAAACGCTGACCTACACCTGTCTTTAAAATGACTCATCTTACGCACCTATTCTGCTACAGAAATATGCTCAGAGAAATTAAACGGAGATGTAGTTTCATTTTTTAGATATGTACAGTATCAAAAGTCAGCTTTTGTTTTTATCACTTTCTGAAGGGGTAAAGAAGAAGAAAAAAAGGAAAAAACTTCATTCATTTTTTATGCAACATAAGAGAATATAAAGAAAATAAAGCATAATTAAAAAAAACCAAAATAGTCCCTAAATTACAAATAAAGTACAAATGCTTCCACTCTGACAATATGTTAAAGCTCTATAGCATTTAATCAATGTTATTAGCTATTTAGACAATAAGTTAAAGTTCAGTAAGTGATTAGAGTCTAAAAGGTGTTTCTTACCTGGTACTGCTGGTAACGTTGCTCTATCAGTGTCTTGGTTTGTGTCCTAAAAGCCAACAACTGACAACTGTTTCTTTGTTTTGTGCTTCTGTAAGTATGTTAACGATGATTTACATGATGACTCACTGAACAAATGCAAATGGATGCACACACGTGATAGATTGACGGTACATGTAAAGCACATCATTAACAATCAACAATGAACTCAGTCCTGAAAGGGGAAAAAATAATAAAAAAAAAACATAGAAATACCTTTCGTCAGAAAAACATGGCACAATGCAGGACTGATTCATTTGCTGAAAATATAACAGGGAAAAAAAAACAAAAAAAAAAAAACAGTACAAATGTCAAAAAAGTTAAGAATCATAAAGAAGTGCAAGTCTGTGAAGGACCAAGCCTGTAACGTTTTTAACGTTGGTTTGCAATGCTCAACTTAGCTTGCCTCTTTACTGTGGCAGGCATACAATATTTCCTACATACACGCATGAATTACTGCACACATTTGAACATAGTACACAGATAATGACAAGCACTACCACACAGAGCAACACAAGAACAATAGTGCAACCTTAAACAATACACAACAATTCCTCCCCTGCAGCACCGATGTCTATACCAGTGGTTGGTGTAGTAGTGTAGTGTAGTGGATAAGACTTCTGCCTTCAGTGCTAGACTGGGGTTCAATCCCCACCTGGGTAAGCACCCTATACTATACCAATAAGAGTCCTTGGGCAAGACTCCTAACACTTCCTTCACCTTCCTGTGTAAAATGATCAAATTGTAAGTCACTCTGGAAAAGAGCATCTGCTAAATGCTGTAAAATCTTCCACCACACCCCAGTAACAACACCTCAGAGACTTTTGCACATTAAATGCAGCAGGTCTCTTTTTATGTGATATACATTATATTGCCAAAAGTATTCACTCACCCATCCAAATCATTGAATGCAGGTGTTCTGACCACTTCCATGGCCACAGGTGTATAAAACCAAGCACCTAGGCATGCAGACTGCTTCTACAAACATTTGTGAAAGAATGTGTCGCTCTCAGGAGCTCAGTGAATTCCAGCATGGTACAGTGATAGGATGACACCTGTGCAACAAGTCCAGTCGTGAAATTTCCTCACTACTAAATATTCCACAGTCAACTGTCAGTGGGATTATAACAGCAACTCAGCCACAAAGTGGTCTGCCATGTAAAATGACAGAGCGGGGTCAGCGGATGCTGAGGCGCATAGTGTGCAGAGGTCGGCAACTTTCTGCAGAGTCAATCGCTACAGACCTCCAAACTTCATGTGGCCTTCAGATCAGCTCAAGAACAGCGTAGAGAGCTTCATGGAATGGGTTTCCATGGCCGAGCAGCTGCATCCAAGCCTTACATCACCAAGCACAATGCAAAGTGTCGAATGCAGTGGTGTAAAGTGCCGCCACTGGACTCTAGAGCAGTGGAGACGTGTTCTCTGGAGTGACGAATCAGGCTTTTCCGTCTGGCAATCCGATGGACGAGTCGGGATTTGGTGGTTGCCAGGAGAACGGTACTTGTCTGACTGCATTGTGCCAAGTGTAAAGTTTGGTGGAGGGGGGATTATGGTGTGAGGATGTTTTTCAGGAGTTGGGCTCGGCCCCTTAGTTCCAGTGAAAGGAACTCTTAATGCTTCAGCAGACCAAGAGATTTTGGACAATTTCATGCTCCCAACTTTGTGGGAACAGTTTGGGGACGGCCCCTTCCTGTTCCAGCATGACTGTGCACCAGTGCACAAAACAAGGTCCATAAAGACATGGATGAGCGAGTTTGGTGTGGAGGAACTTGACTGTCCTGCACAGAGTCCTGACCTCAACCTGACAGAACACCTTTGAGATGAATTAGAGTGGAGACTGTGAGCCAGGCCTTCTCGTCCAACATCAGTGTCTGACCTCACAAATGCACTTCTGGAAGAACGGTCAACAATTCCCATAAATACACTCCTAAACCTTGTGGAAAGCCTTGCCAAATGAGTTGAAGCTGTTATAGCTGCAAAGGGTGGGCCGACATCATATTAAACCCTATGGATTAAGAATAGGATCTCACTCAATTTCATATGCGTGTGAAGGCAGACGAGTGAATACTTTTGGCATTATAGTGTAGACCCTTTTTTTCTGGAACTTTTTCTGGGAAGTGCCTTGTAGGTACTTGAATCTTGACTTGTAGTTGCTGTACAGCCTCAGCGCTACTGTCGTTTTTTTAACCACTGTCATTGTCAGGTGTTGCAGCGCTGTTAGTGATATTGGACCCTTGGTCCTTACATTCAGGCCCACTTGAGCTGGTTTTGTGCATTTCGGAGGTGGTTGGTCTGGGCTGGGCTGCATCCAGCCGTTGATCAACATGTCTCTGCCTGATCAGACTATGACCAACACTGACAACGCAATATAGCTTGGCTTTTTACATTTACAGTTACAGCATTTAGCAGACGCTCTTATCCAGAGCAACTTACAAAAAGTGCTTTGTCTATCGAGAGAAAGTATCTTGCTAGTTACAAATCGGATTAAATTGTCCTGATAAAATGGACAATGAGTGTAGAAACAAGGAGCATAATGTTATGCCTGACCGGTGTATATGTGTGTCATAAAGGACCATTACAAATCCCTTTTACATACCATTTAACATTTACAGTCATCATAATAAACGAAGATCCATAATCATTTTTTATTTAGTAAAGAAATCTCCAATTTTAAATAAACTTTAACTTAATAAAGCAATAAATATTAAACTGAATTTCTTATCCACTATTGTTCATGCACTCACTGGATTGGCTGGATTGATTCCAGCAAACACCAGTGCAAATACATCATCATGACCAGTTCTTGAAAAGAGTATTTTTTCATGTGAGTTGATCTAATCTCAGTTTGCAACATTAACTGCCCATCACTTAATTTAACCAGTTGTGCGAGACATATTAATAAGTTAGCAGACAACAATGTTACAACTCACGGTGCACAGTAAAACTTTAGTTAATGCCAACAGAATATTTTATAGCAGTCTAAATTGTCGGACTTATTAAGTAATATATAAACAATAATCATTAAATTATAATTTTACACTTACCTTAAGGATCCTGCGAGTTGGAGGAAAGAGTAGCTAACAAAGTGGCTCACTGGACATAAACGTCCGGCTTCACCCTCCTGCAGTCTGTAGTCAGAGGCCTCTTGACGCTGCAGGGTAACCCACTAACTGTGAACTAAGTTGCTAGCTGCAACCTAATGTGCTACCTGTGAGCTAACCTGCTAAGCATGAAACACCCTGCTAGCCATGACTTAACCTGCTAACTGTGACTTAACACACTAGAGGCAACCAGAGGCAACCAGTGGCAACATGTTAGCCACAAGCTAATGAATTACAATTGTTATTATTGGTTGTTTAATCAAAATAATGATGGAACATGACTGATGTGTTACATATTTGTGACAAAAGTAAGTTTGTGACACAAAATAAAAATTTTCATATCTTGGCTTTTTTTTAGATTACATTCTTCCCTTGTCGGTCTTAAGGGGTAAAATAAATAGGTCCAAGAATTGAGCCTTGTGGGACGCCACAGAGAACAGCATTCATATAAGATATCCAGTGCAGCATGATAGTCGCAGCCTCACAGTAAATCTGAACTACTCTAGTACTGATCCAGAGAAGCCATCATTTTTTTTTTTCATGGGGGACTTTCTTTGTCTATATGAGAAATTTTGCATGAATTTCCAGTACAGAGATCTAACCCAAGATCAGCAGAAGAAAGCAGGGGCATGTGAACATTAAGCATGTGCAACCACCATACAGATTCCATAATGTCCAATGTTATTTTAACAAATTTTGGCCCTAGACATGCCATAACAAATTTAAAATGCTGGTCGCGTAGTGTTATACATATACATACTATACCACTATAACAACTGATTTTACTTTAACAACTATTTTAACAAAAATTTATTTTGTACATTACACATTATTTTAGGAATTCTGTGAACAAGAAGGAATTATATAATAGCTGTCTGTACAAAACCTCATATCTCCATACTCATAACTTTACAGAAGAAAAACACATGAGGAATGAAAGATACATTAATAAAGAAACAGATTAAGTGCATATGAATGCGTATGTTTAACTTTGGCCACAAAAATGATACTAATACTTGTGAAGTTGCTGTGTTAGTCTGTAGGCCTCCTTTGTTCTCATCAACTCAGGCTTTGTGTAATTATAGCTAACCCAATTAAAAAAAAACCTCACAAATGCACACAAATACATACAGGCACAGGCATTCCAGACTTTGAATGACAACATGTAAAAAGGCAAGCATTATTTATAAAGAAATACTTACTGGCAGTGAGGCATACATGTCAGTGGCAGCCCAGTTTCCCATGAAAGTATTTCCATTCTTACTGTCCATAAAGGCAGAATTTCCCCATTTGAAAATAAACACAAATACAGTAAAAATAACAAGGATTTCTTTTTTTCTTTCAAATAGTAGTTGACATGCTATGAGATGGTTTGGAGAATAAAATTTGGTTCCAAATTTCTCCTGGTCATCTCCAGCCATCACACAGATTTGTTAAGTATTATCACCAGCACACCTGATAAAACATCATAAATTATTTATTAGTCAAACCAGGGTAAGAATCGGATGAGAACTAGAAAGTGATTGACAGCTTACTTTCCATTAAAGTTTATTTCTGTTTTAACTGATAATAAAGGCAGAATTTCTCATTTGAGAAACTTACAGAGTTGCTGTTGCACTCTTCAGGATATGTTTTAGTGACTGGCACCACTTTGCATATACAAATTGTATCATTGAACCACAGCCATGTCAGAATGTCATGTTTTCATTCACTCACACACACATCCAGTCAGAACGGCCATTAAATACAAGTTATTAATTTTTCAGTGCCAAAACAAAAGCACAAAGTACTGTACAAAAACAGGGAGAAAATTAGATCTGCAAAATTGTGCATCTGGGCAATGAGTAGTTTTTTTCCTCAGAAAAACACAACAATAAATACAAATAATATTACTACAACAAGTAGTGATTTTGTGTCAGTGTATTGGTTCAGTCATTTCCAAACCTCTCCTTGGGGAAGCCCAATATTATTTGCAGTTATCATCCAATACCTGGTTTATCTAATCAATCCTTCATTAAGCCAAATGAAGTGTGCTGGTGATAGAATTTAACAATTCATGTGACGGTTAGAGGCACTGAAGAGAAATCAGGAACCAGACTTTGCTCTTCAAAGTAGATCACAATATATCAACTACTTTTGAAGAAAAAATCTGGTTAAAAAATCTGTATTCATGTTTATTCGCAATTATTCGTATGATACAGCGGCTGCTGCTGTGTCTGATCCACTCGTACCAGTGCAACACACACTAACACGTCGGTGACATTGCAGTGCTGAGAATGAACCCCCACCAAAATAATACCTGCTCTGTGGTGGTCCTGTGGGGGTCCTGACCACTGAAGAACAGGGTGAAAGAGGGTAACAAAGTATGCAGAGAAACAGATGGACTACAGTCTGTAATTGTAGAACTACTAGTGCTCCTATTTAGTGAGTGGAGCTGATAAAATGGACAAAGAGTGTACATACGAGGAGGTGGACTTAATGAAGCAGCCGATAAATAATTAGATAACCATTTAATGTAAAAGCACCAGTCATGTGAAACTGATCATCCAACTTTTCACCACCCAGCACAGAGAAGTCAATGTGTTTCTTTGCTGTTTGTATTTGCATTACCAGTTACACAACAGAGCTAACAAAAGGTCTACAGTTGACTAGATTTGCATCTGGAGTTTGTTGGATTTCCTTCCACACAGGGACACAGGAGGTGTCAATATCGGTAAAACAGGTCATAATTGGACTGAAAAATCTACACAAACAAATCTGAGACAGAACTAAAATAACAGTGTGTTAAAATAACAGTTATCAAGAAACAAAAATATCCTGGTTAATTTAGAAAAATCAAGTGACATGGTAGACCAGGCAAGCAGTCTTCATGGCTAACCAAAGAATACTTTCAAACATGAAATCAAAATATTGGCACTGTAATGTCTAAAAACACTGGTAAAATATGGTGAATAATGTTGAACTTATATATTAACTTCATAAATTTTTGACTTTTAGTCCAACAGACAGTTAAAATGTGCCATGTCCCTATAGGGTTGTTCCTACAATTGAAATGATGGATGTAGGCGGTATAATCATAATCCTTCAGGTTTTTCACATTGTTTACAAGTTTGAATTAAGGGATTTCTTAAAAAGACATTTTTTTTTCAGAAAACTAAGTTCTGATGAGAAAACAGGCTTATAAGTCACATAATAATAAAACATTTGCTTTTTTATAAGCAAAAAAAAAGAAAATCAAACTAGAAATGGGACATATCCTTTACATAATCTGGCTGTACTAAGATGTACTAAGAGAGACATTCTAGGTCAGTCACTTCATGAAAACGTCTTGATACAGGCAACAACTTGCCTGAGCTTGACCAACACGACTTTTAAAAAGGACCAAAAAGGCACCGAAAAACAGATGAAAGAGTAACTTCTAGTGGTTTAACCATTCATTACACTCATTATTACAGAAAGAGCTTTATTTTCAGGTTTTATTTCACTACATGTTTTTCTTGAGGATGAGTAATAGCATCAATGTTATTAATCGTTTGAGACACTACCTTTAAGAAAGTAAGGGATCTTTGGCAAGACTGAAGTATAAGAATCAGTGAGGAACTGAAGTAAATGCCGGTCCAGTATCTGGTCCTGCAGTAACAGAGGTTTTCAAACAACAGCAGCAACAGTGCAAGACAGCGACTGTTAAAACATACAGCGATGTACATTTATGACATCAAGTGGTAGCAAACTTTCAGTTAGTCCGTTTGTACTTTTGCCAGTTCCTGTTCAGGTATTTTAGTGAAATACTCTTGCAGTTTTAGACAGTTCTGGGTCACATTTTGATCAAGCACCAGCTTTCATATTCCTTGGACAAACTACACGTCTGAAAATTTAAAGGGGAATTCCACTGATTTTCCAGTATTTCTGCATTAATAAACCACTAAGATAAACAAAGTCATTCAGAGTGGTTTGGTGTGAAATGCTCTGTTCTAGAGAAACTTACTGAGTCAGAATTGTTCACAGTGGTGGTGATAGGAACCAGACGTCTGAAGAGTTTCATGCCTCTAAAAGCTCCCTCACCTGAATAGGGTGTTTAATGTCTGAGACATTGTATTAGAACAGTTTGAAGATGCTTTTTGTTTAAAAAACATTTTTTTCAATCCACTCATTGTGGATAAGAACATGCAGGGTGTAATAAAGGAAAACAGTCCCCAAAGAACAGATTTACCACTATTTTACCCTCTTCAAAGTTACTAAACTTATAAAACTTAGATGTGTAGACTCACTAGTGGTTTTGGATAGTACAGAAAATGGCTATATTTGCAACCCCTGGTTCCCATCACCACCATGTAAAGAAATCAGGGTTGCCAAGTTACTTTACAATGAGCAATTTCACATCAACCCACTCTGAATGACTTCTCAACAACCGAGATATGCAGGAAAAGCTGAAATATCTGTTAATATTCCCCTTATTTTCTTACAGTGCAGCCAAGCATTCAGTGTCCGCTTTGAATCAGTGGTCATTATCGACCGTGCATTTCTGTCTTCTCCCTTGTTTCTTCCTCCTCGCTTTCCTCTTGCGGCCTCTTTTCTCCTTCTCTTCGTCAGCGTCTGACTCTTCAGTCTCTTCCCAATAGTCCAGGTCTGGATCAGGCTGCACATTGTCCTCCTCCTCTTCATCCTCCTCCTCCTCAAGCTCCAGCTCCACCTCCAGCTCCTCAGTAGCCGCAGCCTTGGAAGAGCGCTTCCTTGCTCGCTTTTTACGCTGGTCTTTGTTTGCTGAGTTCTTCGCAGGTCTACCTTTGTGTTTGTTCTCCTCCACCGGCACAGAGGTGGAATCGCTGCCGTGATGCCGCTGCAGGTGGTTCCTCAGGCTGACGTTGTGGTTGAAACATTCTCCGCACTGCTCGCACATGAAGGGCTTCTCTCCCGTGTGGAGCCTCATGTGGGACTTCAGGTGACCAGCCTGGTTGAAGGAACGCTCGCAGACCCCGCACTTGTAAGGTTTCTCTCCAGAGTGGATGCGCATGTGTCTCTCGTATCTTTGAAGGGAAACAAACGTCCTGTTACACGTGTGGCAGACGTATTTCTTCCGACCTCTGTGGCTCTTCAGGTGTTGATTACGGCTAATAAAGTCTTTGAACTTCTCGGGGCAGTCTGGGCAGTTGTAGGTCAGCTCATCTTTGCTGTGAGTCTGCTCATGTTCGAGTTTGGACATCTTTGTATTAAACACCATCATGCAGTACTTGCAAATGTGTGTGTAGTCTCCGTGCAGTCTGCGGTAATGCACCTTCTGGCCGATTTTGGTAGCGAAGCGTTTGCGACACAAATGGCAGGAAAAGGGTTTGGTCTTGTTCTCGCAAACATGGCCCTTTTTGTTGGGGTCAGTGTGCACCCTGTATGTCTTATTACAATCCTGGCAGATTGTGCGTTCATAAAAGTGTTCTGTGGCACCGTGCACGTCCATAGCATGCTTATGAAAACTATGAATGTCACTAAAATGAACAGAGAAACTGCAGCTCTGGACACTGTCTTCCGCACCACAGTGCGCGCAGCCATAGATCTTCTGGTGCCGCCGAAGTCCACAGTGCATATTTGCAACAGCTCCACAGTCCTCACACCAAACTACCGGTTTAATGGTGTTCTGAAACACCTTCGTCTTGGATGACTCAGTCTCAGAAAAATCTTCATCTGAGCTGTCCATGGGTTCGTACGAGCTCGACAAGCTCTCGGAATCATCTTCAGAATCGTCTGCCTGGTCACTTTCAACATCCTCATCAGGAAATTCTTCTTTCTGATCAGTCAAGCAGATGTGGGATGGTTCAGCTGTCTCATTATTTGCGGACGCACCATTAAAACCTGCCTCATCAACACTGTCCTCTTTTTTTACTGAGGAAATTGGAAGAGTATCCTCATACGTCTCCATCAAGAGACTCCCCGCTTCATTCTCACGATCACATTCAATTTCTTCTTTTACTACAAAAGTTGTGATTTCACTCCTAGCACCTGCCTCTTCCTGCACAGCATTCACAGACGTTCTGTCCTGATGCGTCTGCGTTAAGAGACTGGTCTCCTGAGCCTTCTGCTCAGGGTTCAAGAGGTCATCACACTTGACATTTGTCAGATGCACATCAGGTACCTGGAGAGAAGACAAAATAATAAGCTAAGAGAACATAGAGGGGAAAATCATATAGAACTACTGAATACTTTCCAAGAAACAAAGCTGGTTAAACTGCCATTAAAGGTATATTTGGATATAATTTTCATAACAAATAGACCGACGACTGCAATCGGGATGCAGTGTATGCAAGTACAACTCATGTAGTGATGCACAGCTCCAGGTATTCTAGAATCTCTGGATTTCCTTTGACTCTCACTTCATATTAATTAAGGCCGCACCAGATCCATGGAGAAAAGGATACAGCAGACGTTAAACCATATTACGTGTAGTTTAACCACTTTGACTTGCTACATGTCATAGAATGCATGTTCAATAGTTATCAGCTACAGATAGCTGTTATTGCCTTACAGAATGTGGCCACAAGCTGGAACACTGTTAAAGCAAACTTTAAATGCCACTGCCACCAAATTGTTTTTAAAGACAACCTAATATTTGGGGGCAGCACTGGTAGACATTTCATTAAATGAAAAGTCCAGTCAGATCAAAAAAATGTGTTTTATTTAAATAAAGAAAATGCATAATAATAAACAAAAATATGTAGTACTTACTTGGGGAAAACAGCAACCAGTTACCTAGCAAGCTAACGTTAGGTGAAGTCTAGGCTAATTGCATCTAGGCCTGTTTCTATCATGAAATTGTAGCTGACAATTAATTGCCATATAAATAACTGTGGTTAGCAATTGTCTGTTTTTGTTCACTGTAAGCAACTATTAAAGAATAAACCTAAAGTGGCCAAACTGGCCAACTTGCTTTCTAACTGTTGATACTTAACAGCTCCCAACTCACAACAGACACAAGCAGAGATCAAATAAACATATACCCACCTCTGCTCTCTAAACATACTATAACACCATTTAGAAGTTTCGTTGTTTCTGTAAAAATGATGACTGTCAATGAATGCAATTTCTGCACTGAGCCTCAACCCAATGCATAAAAAGCAAAATTCTAATTCTGTTTGAAACAAACATAAGTGTTAAGAATACCTATGGAAAACAATTGCCATCAGCTAAAACAACTGCGACCAGCATAAATACTTGCAATAAGGTGTTTATTTAATAAGATTCATTACACTAACCAGTTTTTAAGCATTTTAAGATGCATTTGGATTTTTTCCACACATATGAAAACTGGTTATAGTGTTTAATGAAAGGGAAAAAAACCCTCCCCTGACATACCTTGTCTTTTGGCATTTGAACGGTTTGAGCAGTCCATACTCTGCAGTTAGAGCAGATCAGACACTCCTGTCGGAGAGAGAGATTTCCTCCTTTGCCTTTCCCCTGAACACTGCACTCACTGGAGCACTCCAAACAGCGAAACATCAGCAGCACCAAAACCTCTTTATTTAAATTCACATAACTGCTCCTGTAACACAAAACACATGACAAACACGTCATGATAGTTTCCCTCTAGCGATACTAAACATTGAGTCGATTAAACATTTCTACCTACTCATCAAACTGTTCTCAAACCTATGCAATATCCCAACCTCTCTATTTAATTAAGGGATATCATGCAAACTGAGGTCATGATGGTTGAAAACTGTGCTTATGAAAGCTTTTATTTGTTGTGTAGCTCCAAGGATTAGCTGTGACCAAACATATGTACGCTGACATATAGTTGACTTGTACGCTACTATGTTGGTACATGGTAACAGGTGAGGATATTATATCACCATATAAAAGGAGCATCTAAAGGCTCAGTCTTTGCAAGCAAAGATGGGTCATGGCTCAGCACTTTGTGCCAAACTTTATGAGAAAACTGTCACAGTTCAAAAAGAACATTTCTCAATGCAAGATTGTAAAGAATTAGGTCTTCCACCATCTACCATACATAATATTGTGAAAAGATTCAGGGAATCCGGAGAAATCTCAGTCTGTCTAGGGCAAGCCCCACGAGCCTTCAGACACCATGTCATGAGAAACCATCACACTGCTGTTTTAAACACAGCCACATGGGCTCAAGAGTACTTTGGAAAACTTGTCACCTAACACAGTCTGTCAGTGCATCAAGAAATGCAACCTGAAATTATATTACACAAGGAGAAAGCTACACATCAAATTCTATCCAGAAACACTGCCTAGTTCTCTGGGCCTAAGCTCATCTCAGATGGTCTCAAAGACAGTGGAAATGTGTGCTGTGGTCAGATTCACATTTCAGCTTGGTTTTGAGAAAACCAGACATTGAGTTCTTTGTGACAAAGACGAAAGTGACCAGCCAGACTTTAATCAGCGAAAGGTGCAAAAGCCAACATCTGTCAAAATGTGGCGGGGCATCATTACCCACGGCATGGGTGAGGTGCATACTTGTGAAGGTACCCTTGATGCAGAAGCATTTACTGGGATTTTAGAGACATATGCTGTCATCAAGACACCGTCTTTTTCCCATGAAGTCCATGGTTATTTCAGCAAGACAATGCCAGGCCTAATTCTTCATGTTGTACAACAAAGAGGCTTCGTAGACACAGCGTGTGTGCTTGACTGGCCTGCCTGCCACTCCTATTGAAAATGTATGGCACATCATGAAGAGGAGAATCAGACGATGACTGTTGAGCAGCTTTAGTCTTGTATCAAGCAAGAACAGGCAAAAATTCCACTTGCAAAACTCTAACAATTAGTGCCCTCAGTTTCCAAACTATTAAAAAGTGTAATTAAAAGGAATGCGATGTTACACAGTGGTACACATGCCTCTGTCCAAACACTTATGAGTGTGCTGCAGGGAACAAATTCTAAATTTGTTTATATTTACAAAATACAATTAAGTTTGTCAGTGAAAAATCTTTTCCTGTACTTTTGTCAGTTACAAGGGAATTAAAAAAATTGAAGCTTTCAAGAGAATTAAGAAGAAAGATTCTTGTTTTTATCTCACAACTTTTCCAAAATAATGGGGTTTGTATATATTAGATGAAAAATAGGGTAAAAGGGGGTCTACAAAATAATGGAAACTCTACATAAAACACTCCATCTTTTTGTCCATTTCATCAGAAACACTCATCATACAGAGTCGTATGAAACGTCCATGACAACAGAAAACAGCTGGTAATCGAAGGCAATGGATTCTATTATCTGTCATTTGAACTTTGCACTTTTGTACTATTATTTAGGGCTGCAACTGTCAACAAATTCTTTGAGAAGCGGGAAAGTTAAGAAGTGTTTCACTTCAAGTTTGTTTTCAGGCAATGCCACCGCCATCTGTGGCCGGGTAGTTCAAGATAGCATAACTGTCCTCTCCCTCTCTCTCTCTGGGTGGGTGGGATGGTCCTCCTTATCCCATCATTGCTCAGCAACAGGGGCATCTGTTAGCTGCTGTAACAGTATTAGAAGTGAATGTTTCTCTCCTAGTGTGTTTAGCTGTCCAATGACTTTGCGTTAACAGCAGATTGAAACAGTGCAGCAGTATTCCACATGACTGTGAGGAAGCACGTGCTAGTCATTACCCCCCCAGCTTGTTGGCATTATTGCCGGGGAGACCTGCTTAGCAGGGGGAAATGGACATAAACAAACTGGGAGGAACTTTGAAGTTAGCTTCTTACTTGAATTTTCCATTCCACCTTAAATGGTACAGGTGCCAGAAGATAACTGCTGCACTATTTAAGATGGGATAGAAAACAAACTATTACTATATTATTATTTTAATTAAGATTCACATTACTATTTAATTACTATAAAATCTTAGACTCTGACACTTACCTGTAGTTTGTTCTGTCAAAACCTTTAGACATTTGTCTCTTATGTACGAAAACCAGTGAGAAATTGTGCAGCAACAGACTGGCTACAGTCTGTAACTCTAAACTTACAAAATGCACATATATTGTAGGTGTTTCTGATAAAACGGTCAATGAGTTTGATGTGAAAGATGTCATAACCCCTTATAGTTTTAAAAATAGCACTACATGTATGACAGCAGGCAAACTTGTACTGTGTAAAATTAAGGCGACATACTCAGATATGTCAGAATTTTCTTCTTCGTCTGGAGTGGAAGACGACCTCATTGAGAAATCTGGAAAAAGACAAAAGCAAAACCAGACAAATGGGTAAATAAATTGAATGGGTAAAGTTATATTAATAGAAATTTCATATTGCTAAGACTGTAATCATTCATTTATATCTTCAACACAACAGCTTCAAATAATAAAGCTACAGCTGTGATAACACTAGACTGGGCAGTGCTGAGGCTCACCTTTTCTGTTGGCTTGTAGAGCTGCCGAAGGCTTACTTGTCATGCTACTTGTTAACTCCTACCACATTGAAATCGTAGAATTAGAAAGAGAAGAATAAACCACACTGATTCCTTGTGTGATCCAGTGTATAATAACTACAAGACATGCATTTTTCTCTAATGCTAATAAACTGAGTAGTTGCTGAACCCCATTAACAGAGAATCTACATAACAGTACTTACCAACTCTATCTCCGTCGGTGCTGTTTGTCCGTTCTGTGGTAACTCACTATCGTCCCCAACATCCGAGGCATAATCCCTCCTTCAGATGCACAAAAGGATAAATGCAACACTGAACCGGTGTATTGTGTACATACAAGATTCTCAAAATACTTTTTAATTATGGATTAAAACAAAACTACGGTACAAGAGGAAGCCAACCATGCAAACTGGGGGTGGGGATCGCTACAGCCCCATGGCATGATACCACGATACTTGGTATCATGCCATGGGGCTGAGAGCCATGGTAAGTGTTGTGATATGACACACTGTGATACACTGTAGTTTATGCAAATTATTCCTCCAAAATAAAGGATTCATTTATCTAATGAAGTTTATATTTTGTTCATCTCATTTCAATCTAGTTAGTGAAGCGAAACATTGTCCCTTGCCTGGACACTCTACATTAGACTGGACACCCTTGCCTTACGTTTACAAATTTAGCAGAGTAGACAAAGCAACATTTACTGTGATTACTTAAAAAACACTTTTATTCACAGCAGTTTACAGTGACAGGTAAATCCAAACCTATGAGTCTTGCCTTATAGCAGTTCTGATTGAGGTCAAACTCGTTTTCCTGCATTGACAGCAAGCGTGTCATCCACTACACCAGCCCCCTCTGTGGATAGTAAGTGCCACTGCAGCACCCCTCAGCCCCCCACCCCTTGTCGATACTTTCACTTATCGAATGAGGACCGTATCTCATTAGATTCCTGTCCAATTTCTAGCTACTGCTGACCTGAACATAGAGATGTGGCTTTGTTCTATTACATTACAGATAACTTGTTAAGAGAGTCGCATTATTATAGTCAATTGCGATTGGTTAGCAAGCATTTCACTTTAACAGCGTTTAACAACATCTACCATTTTCAAACACTTAAAAGAACCAGTTTTACGTATGGCTGAAGCATATTTGATAAACTGAGAAAATGAAAATTTGCGAAGTGGACGTACAGCTTCTGCAGCTCCCTTAGCGGCCCCCAACGCCCCCAGTTTGAGAACTTGGATGTTTGTATATCAAAACTACTTTTAAACATCAAATGCTGGTTTTAAGGACAGGGATTAAGCATAGTCCTGGACGAAATGAAGATTTTCCACTGAGAGGAAAATACAGTCCATGACTAGGCTTAAACTAAGCTCAGGAAACCAGCCCCGAACAGAACAATATCATACTGTATCGTATACACTGTTTCAAATATATATGAAATTATATCATAAAAATATATATTATAAAACAGAAGCAAATGAATCTGTCCCCAGGCTGGACTTTGAACAACCCTGTAATTGGGTCACTAATTAATAAAATCAGTATTTTTGTTTGATAATGACAAGTTATGTTATTGTGCAACATATTGCCACATTTATCTATCTATCCATCCATTCATCAAATATGATGGATAATAAAATAATTTCAACCATTTTTTGCAATGTATAAGGCACATTCGATTGATTAATCAGCATGCCAATCAGTATCAGTAATTCACATAGAATTATGGCTTTGCCTCGTGTTGTGTATTCACGAGCCTGTCCACACATTAAACTAGAGTACAGTTCACAATGACATTTTTTTTTCAGTCTAATCCTTCTTAAACCCAAACAAAGCATATTAGCATTTACCTCTCAAAATCTGAATCCGTTGACTCATCTGTTAAGGTCAATTCAATTCTCGATGCAGCACAGGAAGTGTTTGCCAAGAATCCTCCTTTAGCAAACCTGCAATAGCAACACAGGAATTTACAGCAGAATTTAGATAATAGTCAGTAATGCTGTGTTCACATGTTGGCAGTGAAGTGTTGTTCCACGCCTCATAGCGGTACACGACGCACTGTGGCATTCAGCCATGGAAACATTGCCATGGTGGCAGCGTTACCCGCAAAAATAGATGATTGTCATTGGAGACAATGGTGGCCTTTTTGTACAATACTGGGTACGCCTTCAATTCAACAAGACATTCAGCATTCATGGCTCCCTAAATAAAATAAAACAAAATAAATAGATAAATAAATCTGGTTTGTTCCACTGCCACAGCAGACGGCAATAGCTAGGCAATAATTAAACTCCTGACAGAACGTTCCCTTGGGAGGATTTTCTGTTGCT